CTCGCGTATATCAAAGCTAACACTTACCTGAAAAATACAAGAAAGAAAAACATTTTTAAATGAAAGTATATTTGAAATAATATTTAAACGAAAAATTTAAAATATTTATAAGTCAAAGTATTACTACCCCACACACAAAAAAATAATAATAAAACAAAAATAAATAAGGTTCTTCGAAGAAAATGGAGCAAAAAAATGAAGACATATCCTCCATAGATAAATATTAAAATAATATTTAAAATTATTTATAATATTCCAAAGACTTGGTCCAGGTCATTTGATAATCTTACTGGAACCATGTAAACCAGTGCAAACCGGTCGGGTCTTCAGCAACAAAATCGGTTCGTCCATCAGGCTTTTTCTGGAGAAGAGGGTGGCTAGACACTCAATAAGTTTAAAAACAAAAGGGCGGGATAAAACCTTTTGTAGTTTTAACGTCCATCTGGCAGGCACACTGACGAGAGACTGGGTTCCATAGCTGTGTATTCAACCAGTGCGACGATGGCACATCATCGCTGAGGTTTCAAGAGGAAGATGAAAAAGAACAGGGGTGGAGAAGGAAGAGGAAAAGAAAAGGAGAAAGAAGAGTAAAAAGTAGAAGAAGAGGAAAAATAAGAAAAGGAAAAATAAAAAGAGGTGGAAGAGGAAGAAGAAAAAGAAGAGGAGGTGGAAGAGTAAAAAGTAGAAGAAGAGGAAAAATAAGAGTAGGAGGAAGAGGAGGAAAAGGGGGGAAGAAAAGAAGTGGAAGAGGAAAAAGAAGAGGAAGAAAAGCTAAGAATAAAAGAAGAAAGAAAGAAACTGGTGATTAAATGGACTGAGCCAGTGTCAGGTAAATGTGAAGGAAAGTAATAAGCATACTGTGGAAAGAAAAAAAAGGGAGAAAAACCAAGGAAAAGGAAAACGAAGAAGGAAAAGAACATTTTACGTTATTCAGAAAAGAAAAATTAATATACGTTCAACATTAGAAAGTTTAATTTTAATTCTGTTCCATCTTTGTGTCACTATTTTTGTATTACATTTATTAACACAGAAGAATTTCAATTTACCTGTAACGTTAATACTGAAAATATCCCTAAAATGTATGGTCTAATATCCGCATAGGTTTAAAGGGAGAGTACCGTGTGCGGACGGACTAGGTAACACTAGTGACTGCAGTTACCTGAGAACGACACAAAAGTACTGTGTTCTCATATTCAAAAATGAATAAGCAAGTAAAAAAAAAAAATGAACTAATATATTTTAAAATATATTTTTATCACGTCAAATGTTTCTTTTAGTGGATACTCGTATTTGAGTAGACGTTCCGTGTATTTATTAAACAGTATATTTGTTTATTTTCGTATACAGGCCTGAATATTCGAGAAATCCCATTAAAGAAAAAAATGAGATCTCCGGGAGGAATCGAACTACGTTCCCCAGAACAGAGGGAGGGCCACTGTTTAATTCGGAATGCATTACCGACGTGGCCACGAAGAGCAGTCCATCAGTCGATTCCAAATTTTATGCTTTCAAGCAATATTTCTGTTATAGATCTCTTGAAGCTTTTCATATCTGTATCAAACGTAAAAAAATAATAATTTTAGAATGGATATCGTCAATCCAACAGATGTTTATATATTTAAACGTTATTTTAATGTATACTTGTATTTGAATAGACACCGACTGATTTATTAAAAAGTATATTTATTTATTTTCTGACCGATTGGAATTCGAACTTGGCTTTCCGACTTCTCATTCCAAACCTTTATCTCAGCCGACTGAAATGCTGTTAATAAAAATCTGCAGGGGTGATTTTTCCATGTCACACTAATGACACCTTTTATATTCCACCAGACACAAAGCAAGGCACAGAATTCTCTTTTTCTGATCACTACTGCCATTTTTTAAAAATAAGAAAACCCATTTTCATCACCCGTAATTCGTTGTTACAGGTGATTAAAATGGGTTTTCTTATTTTAAAAAATGATATAAAAATGAAAGTTTGGTACATTCCTACTTAAAAGACTGTTATAGATTGTGGAACACTGTGTTTGTTTCTCAAGGAAATCTCTTAAGGAACCAAAATGCATTCTTTGCAAGATTTCCCAATTCCCTTGAGAATTTCTTGGACAATTGAATACGACGCATTAACTTTTTGAGCCAAATCTCTGGTGCTTTCAATGGGATATGTTTCAATAGTGATCTTCAAATGTTTGTTATTCAGCGTTAATGCTCTTCCAGTGCGAGGCTTGTCGGATATGTCATAATCACAATTTGAAACCTTTTAAAAGAAAGCTGAAATGAACGAGCCTTCATTGCATCCGTATACACACTACACATGTTTTAAAAAGCCTCTGTAGCAGTTTTATTACGGAATTCACAAAGTAAGCAATGGCGAATAGGTTGCTTTTAAAGTTCTAATCAACGAGCCGCTCAAACTATGAAATCTATTACACACGCCATCTCTTCTATCCGGCAATGATATACGAATTTTAGACGCAGTTTTATTCCGTTTTGTTTTGTTGAATTATAATTTATAGCTGGGAAATACGTAATTACTTCGAGAAGATATTGATATCTTTTTAGCTTTCAGAAAGTACTGAATAGAAACAATAAAATGAAAATTAATAAAAATAGGTATTCATATTTTATAAGTACAATACAATTACAAAATTGCTAAAATATTAAATGAACTCGGAATAAAACGTTTGAATATTTGAGTTATTAAATATAAATCGGCAAAGTTTGTAAACATTATTAGATCCGGTTCTTTATTATAAAAGCATTTAATTAATTGTCAGATACGAACTAAAGATTCTATTAAGGAAAATACGTGGCTACATTGTTTCTTTTGTGTGGATGGTAATCAAAGAATGTCTAATTCTAAGAGATGTTTGAGTTGGTGACTTAATTTTCTTATTGGTTGACAGAACAAAGTCCCCTCCGTTTACTAGAAAAAATGATATGACAGCTCCAGCATGTTACTCTGACAAATGTGGGATTACCCCACCTTTTATGCCGGGGTGGGGGGCTCTTTTTACGTTCGCTTATGGGGTTATATAGAGAGGTATATAAAGGAAGGTCACAAATACCGTCTCTCTTTTAACCCACAGGGTGTATTAGTGTTTCTTTTAGCTACCCACCCCGCAAACAACGTGTCGCATACAACACAACGCTCACTACACTTTTCTGTTAAAAAACAAACAAAATAAAAATATGTGACCACAATAATATGTCCACAAAAAAAAAAACTATCATATAAATATTTTACAGAGTCGAATAAAACAAGAAAATATCGCTATTTAAATATCCCTGGTAGAACCAATAAACGCAGCTACATATTGGTGATATAATAACACTGCTACTGACAAGAAAATATCCCTGGTAGAACCAATGAACCCAGCTACACATTGGTGATATAATAACACTCCTACTGACGACGGGGATACGAAAGAAACAAGGAGATGACAAACTCTTTTGTCATATTTTTTGACTCGCTCCCAAAACAAACTGTGTCTAACTTTAGTACATCACAAATTCTAATCATTATTCTAGTAAATAATGATGAATAACTCATTAGTCAATAGTGAATAGAATGCGATATATTTACATGGAAATTATTATCCTCATCTTTATTGTTGTCACACTGTTTTGGTCGTGGTGCCCCCAATAGAACTCACAATGGTTTGTTATGATCCAGAATGATGATACGTCTTCATTCTAAAACAACCTTTTCACCAGTGATGATTGATTAAACACACTTTGAAAGTAAGATTTAGCTTTGCTGCTAAAATCTGTAGAATAATCTTCGGTTCCATAGTGTCTGGCAATTTAAACTAAACATTGTCTGGTTTTCCAACTGATTTTTTTTATGTCGGTTGGAATTTATAACATCTTTATTTTAGAAACAGTTTTTCATGAAATTAGAATTCTCAAGTCCATTACCTGCTATCACCGTTTCTAGTATTGGTGGGGGTTTACTAGAAATCTTTTTGATTTTCTTTTTTGGTAGAGTCAAAACACTTGATTATATTATTTTTTGTCTTACATTTGCTACTTGTTTCGGTTTATTGCTACTATCGAACATATTCAAGTGGCGATAATGCCACTAAGACGCAAGGGCTTACTGGAATGGAAAGAGGATGAGAAAACTTTAGAAGGAACAGGAAACCCATTGCTAAACAGGAAACAAGGGATAATCCTGTAATTCTTTTGACGAGGAAGGGATGTGGACCAGACGATCGGCAATCCTATGATATATTGACCAAACATTTAATGTCGACTAGAATTTGTAAAATCTTTTTATCAAAATTTTTGTCAGGAAATTAGAAGTTCACTAACTGTTATAGGTCTTTCTCAGTGCTTTTTGTTATTTGGTAACTCTCTTTGTTTCTGAGTTGGTAAATATATTTAATAGGCTTAACTTCTTTAAATACCACAATAGAAGAATAATCAGTAAAGGTTAAACTATCCTCGATTCAAAATATTAGATTACAGAAAGATGTTGCAAGTCGGGTATTATAAATTCCAACTAACGCAACAATTTATTCAACTTGCAACCCCAAATGGGTCACCTATGTATTAGTTACCACATACTTTTAAGATCAAGTGTAAATGTTTGTTTGCATTGGCGTTTAAGTTCGTTTTGGTGCAACCAGCTTACAGTTTGTTTCTTTCATGAATTCTTAGGCGAAAGGGATATTTTCGCGCGACTAATTAAAAATCTCGCGTAATCTCGTAAAATTCACAAGCGCGAAACCATGTTTTACTGGAGGCTATCGACATAACGTCAGCAAGAAAAACAAATTTCAATTCAACACTGAGGTAGGAAGAGGGAGAATAAGTGAATACCAAAGACCAAAATGAAGGCGGTGAATGAACGACACTTATCAAATGTCTCATGTGCGTTCTAAATCAGACAGGATTTAGACCGAAATCTCCCAAATTGGAATCGACCAGCGCTGGAAATGCGCCAGACAATTACAGGACACCAACTGATTTCACAAGATCCATATAAAGAGATGGAGTCGTTCATCCATCATTTCCACCCGACAATTCTTTCAGGAATTATTATTCCCCGGAATTATCAGGCTTCTCTTGTTACTTCGTCTTTCGACTTGTTCATTTTCTTTAGAGCCGTTTGGTTTACAGCATATCAACATTTCTCTGGTTATTTAATGCTGAATTCTGTTGTTTTGCTGAACGATAGAAAGGTAAACATTTCTTTGGTTTGTACTAGTGTCAAATAGGCCGACCCAGATACACTGATGACCTGTTTGGGGTTGGGGTCTATTCCTCTGCTCGGAGATGCAGTAGGTGTATTTTGATCCCAGGCAATAAGACATTTACCTTGTCTTAGTTTATTCATTAATTTGATTTAATCATATCTTATTTTGCTGTTTTTATAATCTTTAATCTTTTCCTTCTTTAGTTCTTTCTTTCAATAGCCCGGCTTCTTTTTTTCTTTAGATATTCCCTTTTATATTAGGATATTTTGTTAGGTTCGCCTATCTTCCGGTTCACATTCCTCCTTGGTCTTTCGATCAGGAGTAGAGGTTTATCCCTTTTTCCTGTTTAGGATTGGGTTTCCGGTTACTTCTTAAGTCTATTTCAACCCTATACCTCTAACGCTTGTACTTACGCTAATCTTACTCAACTCCACACAGTAAGCGTCTACCTTTCGTGGCCTTCTATTGGCTGAGCATTAGTAAAAAAACTAAAAATAAATAAATCATTCACTAATTTTAGTTTGGGTCCCAGTCCTTTCTCTGTTTAAGATTTTTTTTTTTTTTAAAAATTGATCCTTACTTTATTATCAACTACAATTCTGTTCTTCTATTTTCGTACTTTATTGTGTTTCCAATTTCGTTTCCAAACTTTCGTTCAATTACCTTCCACAGGTAAAACTTTCTTCCATCTTTTTCTTTACTTTTCCACCCTCTTCATATTTGCTTCCTTTCACTATTTTTTTTATCATTTTCAATCCTTTATCCCTTTAAAATCCTTTTGTCGCTTATTTCTCTTTCATTGTTGTCTTTAGAATATATCATTTTCCATTATACGTCTTTTGATTTCCGTTTTACCTTTGTTTCTTCTTGCCACTCGACGAAGTTTAAGTTGTTCTTTTAATTTCATAATTTCTCCATTCTTCTTTCATTCTTTTCCTTCCCATACCTTTTCCATTCTTCCTTCTTTCCTCTCACACTTTATCCATTCTCTTACTTCCACCATACTTTTTCCATTCTTCCTTCATTCCCCGCCTTCCATACTTTCTCATTTTTCTTTCCTTTCTCTATTCTGCCTTCCTATCCTTCCTCTTCCTTCCTTCTCTTCCTTCCATTCCTTCCCTTCCTTCCTTCCTTGTCCATTCTTCCTTCCTTCTCTTCCATTCCCCCTTCCTTCCTCGTTCATTCATCCTTCCTTCCTTCTTCTTCCATTCTTCCTTCCCTTCCCATCTTTCCCTTCCTCGTCGGTTCTTCCTTTCCTCTTCCCTTCCTTCCTCCTCTATTCTCCCTTTCTTCCCTTCTACGTCCATTCTTCCTTCCTTCCCTTATTTCCTTTCCCATTTCTTTCCCTTCCTTCCTCGTCCATTCATCCTTCCTTCCTTCCTTCCTCTTCCATTCTTCCTTCCTTCCTCGTCTATTCTTCCTTCCCTCTTCCCTCCCTTCCTCCTCCATTCTCCCTTCCTTCCCTTCTACGTCCATTCTTCCTTCCCTTCCTTCCTCCTCCATTCTCCCTTCCTTCCCTTCTACGTCCGTTCTTCCTTCCCTTCCTTCCTCCCCCATTTCTTTCCCTTCCTTCCTCCTCCATTCTTCCTTCCTTCCTTTCCTTCCTCCCCATTTCCTTTCCTTCCTCCTCCATTCTTCCTTTCCTTCCTCCCCATTTCTTTCCCTTCCTTCCTCCTCCATTCTTCCTTCCTTCCTCGTCTATTCTTTCTTCCCTCTTCCCTTCCTTCCTCCTCCATTCTTCCTTCCCTTCCTTCCTCCCCCATTTCTTTCCCTTCCTTCCTCCTCCATTCTTCCTTCCTTCCCTTCCTTCCTCCCCATTTCTTTCCCTTCCTTCCTCCTCCATTCTCCCTTCCACGTCCATTCTTCCTTCCCTTCCTTCCTCCTCCATTCTCCCTTCCTTCCTCCTCCATTCTCCCTTCCTTCCCTTCTACGTCCATTCTTCCTTCCTTCCCTTCCTTCCTCCCCCATTTCTTTCCCTTCCTTCCTCCCCCATTCTCCCTTCCTTCCATTCCTCTCTTAATTTCTCTATTCTTCTTTCACTCCTTTGTTCTTTCTGCTTCTTTTTCCATCTCACCAACATTTTTCTTAAATTAATCACGGCTTTTCTTTACCTAATTTTTCTTCCTCACTTCCCGTTCCACCGTCAGTCTTTCGTTCCACAACAAGAAACGTTCAAAATAGAATATCGGCCACAAAGTTAAGTGATTAGTTTATTTGAATTCTCATAAATGTCGCCCACAGCGGACAACACATTCACAACGTCAATAAACCTAGAGAGAGCGTTAGTTATCCCCATTCCCGAACGACCACTTTTCCTCCATAGCAGTCCCTTAAAATTTCAACCATCTTCCACCTTCGTTCGTGGCTTAATTTCAAAGCTGATTGCCTCAACCTTTTAAGAGAGTGATTTTCATTTGCTACGGCCTTTGAAAGCCGGTTATGAGTTTTCATGGGGTTTGATTTTAACCTCATAATTGAAGACATTATTCAACGTCAGATGACCGGTGAGTGCACATGCGCTGGGCTACTAATGCGAAGGGAGGGAATTTTATGACGGCCATTTTGATTTGATGAAGAATTTTCTTTTAATTTTTAATTACTTTTCTTTGTCTTTCTTCCTTACTTCCCATATTGTCCGTCCGTTTGTGAGATTTGTACAAACAAAAGACAAAAAAAGACGATGACGGTTTCTGTATTCCTGTCTAAAAAAAAGTTTATTCAAGATTAGAAGGTTCGTGTTCTGGTTGAGTGACTTTTTATTTGTTTTACTTATTCAATTAATTTTCTTCAGAGAAAAATGCGTTACGAAACTTTTTAATTCATTTACGCTAAGTATTATTTTCACGAACATAAACATTACTATTTAAGAAAACAAAAATAATTCCAGAAATATTAAGCATAAAAATAACTTATTCTATTTATGTTTTAAGTGATTATCATTATTTTTATGACGGATATGAAAACTTTGGAGGCAATGTGATTTAAAAAAGACAAAATGATTGTAGATTTTACAAACATTTTGAGCTAAAAAACAAATTTCAAATATTTGTATGATTTGGGCATGTTTTTAGATAGAAACTCCCATTGAATTCAATATTTTAAAAGTTTTTTTTTGGTTGGTTCTTTTATAGACCATGCATATTCAGGACATGGGCGATCATGGCTCGCCACAATGTCCTTTTATATACCGTGTACATTCAGGACATGGGCGGTCATGGCTCGCCACAATGTTTGTCTCTTTAATGTTCTTCCCAGTCGCTGTTGTCATCCATTTATACAAATTCGCTTGATAGATTACTGGCTGTTTTCACTGTACATTTTGTCTTGAATATGTCACGGGAGTGTCAGATTCTCCAAGCCTACTCTCCTCATTATAAAGCCAAGAAATTTCATCTCTCTCTTTCTGATTAGAGTCTTGTACGGCAATTTAACTTGGCGTAACTTTCATATTCTTCGCGATGTGAAGATATGGCTGCAGGAATTATTTACATGCGACCGAAACGTTGCGTTAGCAAAAATAAAAATGAGGACAATAGTCCGCATTTGAATAAATAAAGATAATTCCTCAAACCAGAAATTCAAACGGAGATGGTTATAAGCACGTCAGCCGATCGTTAAGCACAATTCTATGAAATTCTATGAAGTTGTATGAAATTGATGAAAAAGTATGACAAAATTACATCAGAGATTTTGACTGAAAACTTAATAAATATAAAGAAATATTAATTAAATAATATTAATAAAGTAATGTTAATTACTGCAATATAAACATAAGTAAAAAGGACAAGAGAACTATAACTGCCGTAGTTGGAAATACAAAGAGAAAAGAGAAATAAAAACAAATATTATAGAATATGAAAAAACAAAAAAAACAAAACAAAAACATTATTAACGAGAGAGAACAACACCAGCTGTTGTTTTTAACAGGAGTAGAGGTTTATCTCTTGTTTCCTGTTTAGGATTAAGTTTCTGCTTTCTTCAAAATTGTTCTCATTCTCTTTCCATCCTATCAGCCCTTCCGGCTTAGTGGCATTATAGACTTTTTTGGGTGATTTGATTAAAATACACAGACACAAATAAAAAGAAAATTTAAGATATCTATCTATTTATTGTTTTTTTCCTTAGCATTTAATCTCTATTTCCCTTTCGTTCGTTCTTTCTTTCCCTTTGTTCATAAAGGTGCTCCCTTGTAATTGAGGAATATTATTCCACCGTCGCCGCTGTTCAAACCTTTTAAAAGCTCATTTTCGTGATAGGTAAGATCCTAACTTAGGAGGCGTAAAATTGGCGATAAAATTGAAATTATATACAGGCACAAAAATCTGAAGAAGATGTAAGTAAACCACGAAATATACACAATATCAACCATCACTCGTGTTGGTAAATCGAATACTCCAAGCATATTTTCCGTATGTCTTTAATCACATACACACACTATCTATGTGAGTGTGTGTGTCTGTGTGTGTATCTATCTGTATGGATGTGCGGGTGATGTAATGAATAGCACCTCGGAATAAAAAATCAGAGAGCTGTGTTCGAATTCCAATCGGGTTTGTTACACACACTTACTCGTAAATAATACGTAACTAAGATTGCAGTGATCAGGTTTTCTAAGTCGAATGGCTTACCTCCCTTGAACATCAACATTTAAAGTAATAGCATAATAAACGACCACTGGTAACACTAGAGATAATAAATAACTTCAAATATCAAGCAGCTTTTCTTTCTTGCCTTTTCTTTCTTGTCTTTTCTTTCTTTACGCGCTCCTGTTGGCGTTGTTTATGTATGCACCGAATATGAATATATTGTTGAAATATAAGTTTTTTTAAATCTTTTTGAATCAGAGATCGGAAATTGTGTCCCGTCGAATGTATTGCTGAAAATTTGCAGTACGATATTTACAAATACGAATGGTCAGTGATTTTGTTAGTGTTTTCAGATTATTGGGATATCAATGACATTTTATGTCTGTGCCTAATTAAAATCTTCTCGCAAATGATATGCCACAGTGGCTAGGCGATTAGTTAGTACAGGAAACTCTGTCCCATAGCCGCCTAACCTTGTTTTGTGAATTGATGAAAAAATATTCAAAAATTACATCAGGTAACGTCCTGGGTAAGACAATAAACTACGTCTAATAGCAAGGCCTCTGATCGAGGGATTTTGAGGATCGTGGAGAAACCTCTTAATTGCTGGTGTTCCCAGGTCCACCCTGACCCGGGGTGGTAGCACCTGTTAGGATCCCAACTATGGGCAAATACTTAACCCTCATCCTTAAACTGGGTTAAAAAAAATTATGAAAATGTAAAAATAAGCTTTAACACCAGAAATAATTTTTTGCAAAAATTATTACCAGCAATTAATTATTGAAGGAAAACTTATTACCAGCAATACATTTTTGAAAAAATATTAGAAGCAATACATTTTTGAAGATAAATATTACCGGTAATAAAAATATTGTCGGCATTAAATAACCCATTGTGGTTGATATGCCGTAAAAGAAAACAAACCAAACTACATCAGGGATTTTGATTAAAATTGTAATATTAATTAAATAATATTATTTTATGCAATATAAATAGACATAAGTAAAATGGATAAGAGGAAAATTATAATTATCGTAATTGGTAATACAAAACAAAAATGTAAAAGAGAAATAAAAACAAAATTCCAGTAAAATAAGATAACCGAACGAATATTGTGTACGTAGATTAAAAGCGGAAATACGAAGAAAAAAATGACAATAATATATAGGCAGATCCTACGGTTATGGCCTCAGCCAGGCTTAACTGAGCTTTTGAATTCAGACATTTTCCTTCTACTAGTGTGTCTTCATATTTAACCCATAGCTAGAGCGAAAAAATTTTTCTAACGGTTTTTTATTGGAAGTGAATGCCACGAACTGGACCGCAATTCGATCTCGGCTTGTCGATTACTTCCACCGAGACGCTAACCATTTCACCACCTGCACATCCGATAATAATGAAGACTTAAAACATGCATATTTTTTTTATTTGCATCAGTAAACTCAGATTAATGTGAAATTATAAAATGGAGGATTAATTTTCTACTGGTATCAAGTAATAAGCTGATCCCCCTTGAATTACTGCATATTAATATAATAATTAAAAAAAGTTTGAAAACTCATATGGCAGAAAAATAATAGTGAGGAACTAAAATACTTTGTGGGTTTTATAGCATGGGTAAAATACTATTTTATTAAGATACTACTGGGCATAAAGAGATAGAGATGCTTTCTGATATAATTAAGTAATAAACTGCCCTCCCTAGATTTACTATATATTAATATGATAATTGAAAAATATGCTTAAACTACTGTTATTTTTTTATAGTATAAGTGAACATTTCTTTTTGTTATATAAAACCATCCAAATAACCTTCCGCTTTTGTACACTGTGTATAAATAGGCCAAAATATCCGTCTGTCCATAAGATAATTATGTTGACCTTTCCGAAAACTTTGGAATTACGTTTGCCAAAATAAATTAAGGATTAAATTTGAAACAATGAGAAGACAAAAACAAAAAAAACATAGTCAAATGTGTATTGATAATCAGGAGACAACGAATATTCAAAAATCTTGTCTGTTATGTGTGCCAGAACAGGTCCAAAGTAACACCAGAACGAAATAATAACATCCAAAGTGTCCCTAAATCATCATCTAAGACCTCACGGTGCCAGGACCTGGCTGATAACATTTCCTTTTCCCAAACATTTGCCTCCCTTCTCGCACCGACCCTACTCCAAACTTTCATAACCTTACGTTCTTAAGGATAATCATTCAAACCCACCCATCAAACAATTAGATGTGCGAAGTGTTGGGCGGTATTTGAGTTTTTAAAAAGGTGGGTGGGACGAGATTTTAGTGATGGGGTTGTGGTAAGCGATTTGGCAGGGTTCGAACCTAGCTACCAATTACTGGAAAGATGCGCGTTTAACTTTCCTATCCGGGTGGCGTTGTTGCTTCATCGCGCCTCACGCCATAATTTAGTCAAGCGTTGACCATCGTCATTTACGCGGACCAGAGATAATTGGAATGAGTTTGCCAGATTCTCTACACGATTTCGAGATATTTTCGTCCATTGGACAATTTTAACCTATGTGTAAATGTGTATATATATATATATATATATATATATATATGTGTGTGTGTGTATCAAAATAAGAGAAAGGACAGATGG